CTCCTCGCATGCCCAAGCTTTTGCTTGGCCTTCACTACAAGTGCCCCACGTCTGGGAGGCCCATCTGCTTTGGGCACAACTTACCCGGGGGATGCCCCGCGGGGAAGAACAACGAGTCCGAATGCGACCGAGGCTTGCACATTTGCTCCAAGTGCCTGGGCTCTCACTCGTACAACCAGTGCCCGCAGCGGCAGACGAACTGACCATCACAGACAGAGGGCCTCTATCCCTCCTTGAATTTAGGAGGGAAAGTTTTCCAGTCATGCTTCGCCCTCGAGCTTTTCGCGGGCACCGCGGGCATCACGGCCGCCATGAAGAGTGTCGGCCTGTCAGCAAGTTTTGGCATCGATAGTTTTCTTTCTCCCTCTAGAAAGGGGCCGGTGATAAGGTTGGACCCTTCACTTGAGGCCTCTCAACACCTTGTTTTCCAGATTTTAAGTTCAGATCAGCTAGTTTTTGTGTGGATGGCGCCACCTTGTGGAACGTGTTCGCGGGCCAGGGAGATCGCCATGAGCACCTCTCGCTACGGACCAAGACCTCTCCGTTCGGATGATTTCCCAGACGGACTGCCGCATCTACTTGATCACGAAGCAGAACGTGTGAAGAAAGCAAACGAGCTGTACAAACTTGTGACTCAAGTGTGCATTAGATGCACGGACAAGCAACTCCCCTGGACGGTGGAGAACCCCTTCTCCTCCTTGTTCTGGCGAACCTCTTTCTGGACCGAGGCGCAATCTCGGTGCAATCCGAGATATGTGCAATTTCATTCGTGCATGTATGGAAGCGATCGCAAGAAGAACACCGCTCTGGCCTTTTCGGCAAAGTGCCTCTGGACAGACTCCATGCTGAATGTAACAACAGCCACGCTCACAAATCATGGGGATGGTCCCATGAGGACCAGACCTTCTCCACTTCTTTGGAGTCGGCGTACCCGGCCAAACTGTGCAAGCAAGTGGCTCATGCTGTCAAGGATGCCTGCGAGGCAGACAATTTTGTCACGGAACCTCTAGACATGTTGCGGGCATCGCAACTGCCGCTTGCGGCAGAGAAAGTCTCAAGAGCAATGGCATCCGAGGGTACCACGAAGTCCAATCTACCCAACTTCGTTCCAGAATACCGGGTGATTCTCAAGGCATTCATTCCGAGATCTTCCTGTACGTGGCGCATCAAGGATTTCATCGAGCACCCTTTGATCACCCCGCAGGTCACCATTCCCGAAGGCTCCCGTCTGCTGGAAATCTCTCCCAGAACAGAAGGGGAGAACTCCACGATTCCAGCAGAAGCGGACACAATCTGCACATTTGGAGTGCCTTGGAGCCCCGGCGAGTTCCTGAAGGAAGCGGCGGGAAGAGGACACCCAGCCGACGCGATCTCGACAGTGCCTGAACCACTGAAAAGATCCATTTGGGAACTTGCGGCTGACGATCCATCGGCGGTCGCTGAAAGGCGAGCGTCCTTCTTCCGCAAATGGATGTCGGTTGCTTCGGAGCTCTACGAAGAGGAAAAGGCCTTGAAGGACTCGATGGACGAGGGAGTAAGGTCGGTAGTAAAGGACAAGAAGATCCTGCTCTTCAAGGAGATGGTGAACGCATACGAGCTGAACGATGCTGAAGCACACAAACTCTTGGAAGAAGGTGTTGACCTTACGGGCGAAATTCCGATGTCGAACGACCTGCCCAAGAGGTACACCCCGGCCACGATCCATGAGAGCGAGCTCGAAGCTCTTGCTCCGGTCATCAAGGATGCAGCGCTCTCAAGGGCTCTTGGAGCCGCGGAGGGCCTATCCAAGGAAGTGTGGGAGAAGACCATAACGGAAGTTTCGAGGGGATGGCTCAAGGGACCCATGGAGCCTGATGATGCCGATGCGCCCTCGGTCGTGTCTAATCGCTTTGGGGTTAAGCAGAGGGACAAGGTACGGTGCGTCGACGATATGTCGGCTAGTTTGATAAACGCTACCACCTTCGCGGAGGAAAGGATATCTCTTCATTCCGTAGATGTCATGGCTTCCGCTGTGGTTGAGTGGTGCGACGCCAGAGACGCCGCGCAGAGGCCTCGCGACTTGACCGCTAAGAGCTTCGATCTTAAGTGGGCCTTCAAGCAGATGGCAGTGTCGGCGAGCTCCAGAGACAGGGCGGGACTAGTCATCAAGGACCCGTCTGGCTGCCCCAAGGTCTTTACATCGCTGGCCCTGCCCTTCGGGGCCACTCAGAGTGTATACGCCTTCAACAGGATGAGCAGGGCACTGTGGACCCTAGGAGTCGTGGCCCTCAGTCTCATGTGGACGGTTTTCTTTGACGACTTTTGCCTGTTTTCGGAGCCCGCCCTGGAGCAGAGCTCGGACCTGGCTGCAAGGTCCCTCTTCGATATCCTTGGATGGGTGTATGACACCTCTGGCGAGAAAAACACGGTCTTCGGTAGGACACTACACGCTCTAGGAGTCAGCGTCAACCTGAGACATCTCACCAAGGGATCGCTACTCATCAGCAACACTGAGGCAAGAATCAGTGAGCTCGTGAGCGAGCTCTCAAACATTCTCGACAGGGGAAGAATATCGAGATCCGAGGCCAGGCACATGGCGGGGCGAATGAGTTTCGCCGGAGGGCAAATCTTCGGTCGACTCCCGAAGTCCTGTCTTAAAGTATTCTACTCCGTTTTGGAACGGAACTCTACCGCAATTGACGGAAGCATCTCCGCAGCACTTCGGATGTACATTGACATCGCTCAGTTCGCCCCAGCGAGGACGATTCTCCTGGGTCAGAGGCCCTGCGTCTTTATATACACTGACGCGTCCCTGGAACCGACTAAGGAAGGAAACGTCGCGGGAATAGGCGGAGTCCTGTGCGGACCCACTGGAGAGCCCCTGAGGTTCTTCTCGTACTTCCCTAGCTCAGCTGAGCTTGCTGAGGTGGGAATAGACCTAGAGTCTAAGTGCATCTTCTTGCTCGAGTTGGCTGCAGTCTGCTTGGCGTTCAAGGCTTGGGGCGAGGCCCTCAGAGGAATGAGAGTCGTATGCTACTGTGATAATGAAGGCGCCAAAGCCTGCCTTATGACTGGAGCAAGCGCTAACAGAGTCGCAAACGACTTGCTGAAGCATCAAGCCGCATATGAGCTCAAGACGGGGACTGTACCCTGGATCGCGAGAGTCCCGTCAAAATCGAACATCGCGGATGAACCCTCGAGAGTTAGGATCGAGGCTCTCCCAGACTTTCCCGACGCAGTACGGTCCACGGTAAGCGTCGATCTTATAAAAGATGGGGAAAGTTCTCTCCGCTTTCAGTGACCCGATCTGTCGGGACAAAGATCTTGGAATGACTCACAAGGACGGAGACTTCGTCATCCCCACATGGAAAAAGAGAGAGCGATCTGCGTGGAAGATATTTGATTGAAGATTCTTTTATTGAAGATATTCCATTTGATTGAAATTTTCTGCCGGTCCTGTGAGTGATAAGCTTACGTGCGAGGGACGAGTTAGTGTTTTATCACGATCATGGAAAACAAACAAGGAACGTGTTTGTTTAGGCAGAAACGTTTTGCTGCATTGAGCATGTGTGATGTGCCTGCATGTGAACGTTGCTCAAGTCGGAGCCGGGCAGAAAATTTCGAAAGCCCGCCCACCCGCACCTTTTTCTTCAGTCATGCGAGTCTTACAAATTCCAGAGATCTGGTGCACCGTCAGCTTGTACCTGAGGACCAGAAGACAACGTCGCCTCAGCGCGACTGCCAAGGTCTTCCGAGCGCTGTTCAGGCGTTGGTTTCAACCAACAGGCTTCACTGACAGCAGCGAGTACGAAGAGGAGGAACCAGAAACCTCTCCTGGCAATTAGTCCACTTCTCAGAGAGCGCACAGCCGAAGCTTCGTCACCCTGTCAGGCTGTAACCTCTAAGGCTGAACCTCTGAGCGGGGGGGGAAAGTTCTCTCCGCTTTCAGTGACCCGATCTGTCGGGACAAAGATCTTGGAATGACTCACAAGGACGGAGACTTCGTCATCCCCACATGGAAAAAGAGAGAGCGATCTGCGTGGAAGATATTTGATTGAAGATTCTTTTATTGAAGATATTCCATTTGATTGAAATTTTCTGCCGGTCCTGTGAGTGATAAAAAACCTCACAGATTGCATCCAACAAAACTGACAGCTGATGTTCGAGAACACATTTTGAATCCAGCTCTGCATGCTAGCTCAACGCCGCATGTCCTGCAAGGGTCGCCATCTTTCACAAGACAGTGTCCAACCACGAACCCTTACGCAGAACAGAAGCCGCAACTGTTATCAGAGCAGAACCGCTGTCTTTCGCAAGACAGCGTCCAACAGCGTGCTCCTGCCCACCCCTCGACACTTTGTGCCACCAGCGAGGATGCCACGGCTGCAGGTCAAAGCACATCTACTTATATGTTCTGTCCGTCTACACGTCCCACTGCATCTCTTGCATGTCTGCGAAGCAGAAACCAGAGCTGATTCCTGTACGTGTCCGGCATGCCCAGCAAAACCACGAACAGGAACTTCACAGAACTCAGCCGACTGATGACCTCGCAGTATCGAATCGCCAGCCGTCTAGCATCCGCCAGCGGTATACGTTCATATTCAAACGACCATGACAGAACATTCTCGCAGATCCAAACCATACACTCGCGTCGGGGCACCTCCCCATCCCTCGCAAGCAATTGAAGCAAGAGCTCCGTATCCACTGGATTCACGTCTCTTTGCAACTTGCATCGGAGCATATCGCATTGTTGAACCAAGGTTACCTTTTGTGAGGTTGTTATACACTGGTCTTGTACGCCTGCTTCCACAATCTCAAAAGCAGAGGACCCGCGTCTGCGATGCCTGGTTTCGAACTGCCGCAGCAGCCCCTGCAATTGCTGCGCGGACAATGCCCGCTGTGCTTGCCACCCTGCTGCCAGGTTCATCGTGACACATCCCAACACCAAGTCGAGACAAACTTCATAAAATTCTTCTCCACCTAAAAGGCTGCCAGCCGTTTCGGCAGTGGCAGCGACTGGATCCTCATCCGAACCCGCGGACCCTTCCGCCCCGGAAACATGCGTTGCGTTCATTGCTGCAACTAGGTGACAACACGCCCAACTAGGGCGCTATTTACCTGTAATCTTGAGAACGCGCACACACACGCACACTGGAAGATCTGCATATATGCCCAAGTGTGAACACAACTAGCTCTCTCTCCCGCGAACGTGGTTTTGCTCCCGCTCTGCATGCTAGCTCAACGCCGCATGTCCTGCAAGGGTCGCCATCTTTCACAAGACAGTGTCCAACCACGAACCCTTGCGCAGAACAGAAGCCACAACTGTTATCAGAGCAGGGCCGCTGTCTTTCGCAAGACAACGTCCAACAGCGGGCTCCTGCGAGACGAAGGTGCATCGAAAAAAAAATAGCATCTGCGGGCGGCTCTTGCCCACTAGCCGTCTGCACTTTGTTGGAGCAGAAGCTCGAAGCCACGTGTCCTGGCAGGGTCGCGATCTTTTACAGGACAGTGTCCAACCCTAAGCCCCTGCGCAGAACACAAGCCGCAACTGTTATCCGAGCAGGGCCGCGGTCTTTCGCAAGACAACGTCCAACAGCGGGCTCCCGCGAGACAAAGCTGCATCAAACTGCATCCACAGGCCGGCTCTTGCCAACCACCCGTCTGCGCTTTGTGGGTGCAGTACTTTCAGTAGCTGGGCGGACGTCGACGCCAACGATGCGCTGGACGTATTGATTTCCATACCAGCCGAGATTTCTAATGTACTTTTCGGCATCTCGCATACTTGTCTTGGACATTTCTTCAAACTCCCGCATTCTCCGAACGAGCGTGTCGTTGTGCTCGTGCAGATAGCCTTCGAAACAGCGTCGGTCCGGCAAACCGACTATGGTCAGATCCGTCAGCTTCCTCGCGCGCGACATCATGACGTAGAGCGCCAAAGCATAGTCAGACTCCTTCATCCAAGATGGTTGTGTCAAAAAGGCCACCAGTCCATGTTTGGCGGTTATCCCTTGCATCCCGAAGTGCGTGAGGACTTCTCTCGGCGCCAAAGGAATCTAGCGCAGCCAAATAACCAAAACAAAAAAAAAAAGAGAAAGGTTACATCATGATATGATGTAATCACAACCCGACACCCACCAGCGCACACAATCCCGTGCCTGCTTGCGCACCACTCTGAATTTCGGGTCCTTGCCAACCTGGACCGCAAACCCATTGCTGTCGGCCACCGGCCGAACGAAGAAATGACCTTTCGGAACGCCCGACGCTGGAGGCAGCTGCAGTTCTTGGTATTCCTTGTCGTCTACTTCCACAAGCACACCCAACGGCTGGTAGCGCAGCACGACGCAAGCTGCCCCAGCGTCGACCTGGGGTTCCAGCGGATGCAGCTCGATGCGTCGAACGACGCAAGGCAACTCCCTGGTGAGAAGTGGCTCGGGCAAAATACATGAAATACGAACCTTCATGCCAACGAACAACGGGCACATGCCCATGAGATATCCAGTCTTCGTCATGTTCACGACTTTGAGCGCAGCGCTGGCTTCGTCGGGCGTGAGGTTGCGACCTCCGGTGGGCTTGTCGATCGCCTGCACGAAGTAGAGCTGCTGATGCGCAGCGCGAGCTTCCAAAGTAGACCGTACGTGCTGCAAACGACCAACTTGCTCCCAAGCCAATCCGCCCCAGTATGCAGACAGGAAGTCTTCCACTGCTAACGTGTCGGGCTGTAACACTCGCGATTGCAGCGCCAGCCAGAGGTCGTCAGGCAAGCTGGTGCCCTGCCGCATGTGTCCGAGAATACGAACCAAGGCCTGCCCGGATGCGCAGTCCGAAAACCGCCCGGTCCCCGTGAAGTGGACGACGATGCGTGCAGAGTTCTTGAAAAGCAAACGTCCGAGCTCCGAGTTATTGCTGTCCTGCGACTTCCAAGACATGCAAAACAAGGCACTAGCAACATAAACAAGGGTTCCAATTTTTGAAAAAAAAAAACCTTTTCCTGTGATTTGGGATCAACTTCTTCTTCGCTCTCGGACTGCGCCGTGTCCACGGCGGACACTGCTTCCTTCCATTCGCAAAGACTTCTCTTTCCTGCTGGCCGAATTTGCAGGAAGTCCCCCAGCTGTATGCCGACGGGCATGCGACCGAACCATTCCTCCAGGTAGCGGGTAGTGTCCAAAGCCAACGTATCTGCACGCTGTAAAGCAAAACGATAGCCGGCTGCATGATAAACATCGGGCGGTGTCATCGACAGCTCGTCATAGACCTTGCGTTCCAAACAAAAAAATCCTTACACCACCATGAACAATCCCAACGACAACAAAAGACGAATGGTTCACAAGCCAAGCACGGCGGCGACGGCCGTTACGATTCGCCTCTCCAAAGCATCTTCTTTGTTTTTTTGGGCTCGAAGAGACCGACGGTCCAAACAGATATTGGGATTGACGTTAGCCAACTTGTGTAGCGTGCGCGCTTCTCTTCCGAGCAGCCGCACAGCAGCGTGCGTGGGCGCACCTGCCAGGAACCCATCTTCACCGAAAAAGCGTCGAAAGAGTGGTCGTATAACTTGGGTGTAAGCCCATGTTTTGCCGCTCCCTCCCGCACCCAGCCAGAGACAGTTCACGCAGGCATTACGCTTGCCATCAGCCTTGCAAATGCTGCTGTTCGTTCTCTTTGCCCACATGTCGTCCACGGCACACACTACAGGAGCCACAGCGCGGATCTGCTGATCATTCAGTGTGTGCTCCTGCCACCAGGTCAATATAATTATGAATCTCTCTCTCTCTCTCTCTCTCTCTCTCTCTCTCTCTCTCTCTCTCTCTCTCTATATATATATATACACACACCATCACTGCCTACTCAGGGTCGAAGCTCTGCGTCGATTGCAAGGGCTTTCTCATTGCACATGTATGCACCACATGAAAGGATGGACATGTTGCAGATTGTTGCAGCATCTTACCATACCGAGCACCGCTCTTTACCTGCCTCGATGACTGACTCTCTAACGCGAATTTTAAACTCTTCGCTACTAATGCTTGCGAGGCAATTGTCTTCGGCTCGTACCTCAATCAGCTTCAAGGCATACTCGCTGGGACGCAAATCTTGTGCATTCAACTCCGCCAGAAAGGGATCCACTGCCAGCTCCGGCTCCGATGCCTGATCATCTTCCTCCTCATCTCCCATCTCGCATTCCTCATCTCCCACGTGACCCGCCGCTTCGCCTGCCACTTCGCCTGCATCGACTGCTGGCCACGAAACTAGGACACGAGGAGCAAATCCACTAAACAGAAACGTCGGTTTTGTCTCACCGAA